AAGGCGTCTTTCTAGGGTTTAATCACCATTAATGTAATTCCTCAATCAATCACCCTAATTTATAGTCTAGCATATGTTCATAAATCTAGTTTCATTCAAGATTTCATTGTCTTATTTTTGAAACAATTCTATCCAAGATAGCAATTCTAGAAGCCCTAACAAATCATTGATTTCCCTTCTCAAGGCATAAACCTAATTACTTGATTTCTGAGAATTTCCCATGGAATTCGCTCGGTGCGCGAAGGTCTACACATAAATCCTACCATTGATTTACATATATCACGTGATGAACACATATTTAAACTACTCAATTCATAAAACCTAGCCTACCTGGGAGCCAAGCAGTTGCACGGAGTTTTGACTTCAATTCTGGTTTTTCGGGCTTCACGACGGTGGATTTGTCCAAGAATCTGCAAGATTTTCCCATCCTCACGCTAGAAATCTCCTTCTCCTTCCTTCCCAAGCTTAGAGCAGTTTTTCTGAAGTTTTTAGGGTGTTTTACGACTTATTTTGGTATTTTAGGAAGATGGAGAAAATAAGATTTCTCGTAATTTACGTTCTGTCTCGCCTATCCCGCTATGGCGCCAACTTAGCCTGCCCTGACACCGCCGCCCTAGCGGCCTCTGGTCCCCTGTGGCGGAAAATTTTTGTTTCTCCTAATTAACGACAGTTCGGATCATTACACCGACCTAGCTTTAAAGTTTAAGTTAGACCTAAAATCTATTTAACATAAATATATCATTTTCACCAAAAAAAAAGATCCCCCAAAATGAAACATGTATATCAATAATATAAATGTAGTTAAACAGTTGTAGATATACGTGTTCTCTAAATAAGTCGGGGGGGCTAGAAACATGATAGCTTTTATAAGAAGAAAAATGAACAAATAATATAATATAATGTCCCATAAAGAATAAAAGCCATGCATGTAACGATAGTAGAAGAGTCTTGAAGCACACATGTGTTCGTCAGCACGCATGTGTGCTTCTTGGTATTCACATTAAATTAAGGGATTTTTTTGTCATTACAAATGAAAGCATTTTAGACTTTCAAATTAGATAAAAGCTGTCTCATTCTAATATAAAACAATTCTTCTTCATTTCTGTTGTGTATTAATTTAACAGTTGTCGATCCCACCAGCTTCCATCACCATTACCATGACTCTTTCTATTTCATCCGTTTTTCAAGTTTTTACCTTATGGCTTCAAATATAATATTACTTCATTAATTAGTATTTAATCTATGAAACATAATAGATAAAAGATTATATTTATTTTGTTTTAAATTGTTTGATTTATTTTAATTTGGTATGAAGTTTAAGAAGGAAAAATTTAAATTTTGGGATCTTCAACATATTATGTGAAAAGTTAAGAACTAAAAAAATTATTAAAATGAGATAGAATTGTTCTTTTTAAATAGAGTAACAAAAAGTAGATCAAATAAATTAAAATGAAATAAGTAATAGTTTAGGAATAAAATATATATGCTATATTATTAGAAAAATTGAAAATTAATTTATATTTCCAGTTTCATATATCTTTTACAAATCTCTTATCTTGTTTTCGTGCATTAATCTGTGCATATATTCAAACGATGTTTTCAAATTTAAGATGTCTATTTATACTCAAGTTTAGTACTTTCTCTATTTTAATTTATTTATATTACTTTTCTTTTTAATATGTTATATATTTAAACATTACGTAAAAAATTCTATAAAATAACAATAATTAAAAAATAAAAAAAACTTTAAAATGACGTAAAAATATTATAAATCACAATAATTAACAACTTCAAATATGTAAAAAACACATAAAATTTGATTGACTCTTTAAATATTATTTGTGTCACGTAAATTGAGACATAGAGAGTAATATATATTATTTAAAAATTATTTAAAAAATTACTATGAATCACAATAATTAATAATTTAAAATATTAAAACTTTGTAATTTTTTTAAAAAAAGAATTATCAAAATTTTAATTGTGTCACATAAATTGAAACAAAAAAAAATAACATGTGTTGGACCCGCGCTGGCACGGATGTCCATATCTAGTTATAAGAAGAAAAAGGAACAAATAATATAATATAATGTCCCATAAAGAATAAAAGCCATGCATGTAACGACAGAAAATCAATTCAAGCGGTTTATAACTACACAATTAACTATTTCATGCTCAGATGTTTTTTTTGTTGCAAAAGGGAAATATCAAGTACATATAATAATCAGAAACGGATTCTATATTTAAAGTTTATGAATTTCTATAATAATTTTAAGTTAATATAGGATAATAATTTTAATAGAAATATAGGATTTGAACAAAAGTTACTGAGTCATCATATGAACTGAATCTGCAACTAACTACAGGCACTGATGCTACATTAAAATTTACCTTGTGGTTAAGACGGTAAGAATAGTCATTCTGATGCATTTATATACGTATGATTAAAGAGTGCGGTGAGATGGATAGAATTTCTCTATTCTTAATCATAAGTCTTGTGTTTGAATTTTGAGAATGAAACAAAATCGAATAAAAAAGATTTTTAATTTCCTTCAATAGTCTTATATCACAATTCAAATTAGTTGTATCAGTGAGTTCCTAATACCCAATTGTTATACCAAATGAGCTTCACCATTTATAGGATCGTCAACATCTTGCAGTGGGATAAGATATTTAAGCTATGCAAGTTATGGTGCTCGAAAGGAGCTTCTTGATTGGTCGATTAAGTTGGCCCAAAAATAGAGAAAAAAGTGTTATTACTTTAGACTTTAGTATGACACTCCCTCCGTCCATTATAGTTTGTCAGGTATACTAAAAATAGTTGTTCAAAATTAATTGTCAATTTAAACAATCAAAAAACAATTAGTCACTTTTTTTCAATTCTGTCCTTAATAATTACATAACTACTAATTTCAAAAAGTAACCATTTTAAAGTTACAAGACTACTTTAATGTGAAAAAAATTGCTTCTACAGTTTTCAAAAAGTAGAAACCATTTTAATAATGATTGATAGTAAGGTTATATTAGTCAAATTGTACCTTATATTAATTTTTTTAAGAGTTGTGCATGATCCTGACAAACAATAGTGGACGAAGGGAGTATAATATTAATCGATTTGAGTCAATTTCGTAGATTTTTTGCTCCTTAAAAAACCTTATACCAATAAAAAATTATAATTATTGCACCTTATATATAATATAAAATAATAATAACACCAATAAGGGGTATATGATACAGGGCACACAATCTTGTGTTTGCAACTTATTAGTACCTTCCCACACGCATTTATATTCTTCAACTTTGGTACACAGGTAGATATATATTTGCGTTCTACGTGCATTAATTTGTCACATAGGACGTGTGTTGGCTAATTATTGATGCCCTTATAATAAGACCAGCCACACTGTTGGGACTTTTTACAATGAGCAACAGCAGCCTCAATTGAATCCTCAGAAGTAAAACCATTAATAGAGTTGAAGGAAGAATTAGATGTTGATGATGAGAAAGACTCACCATTTATGGAAGAATATTGCCACCTTGAAGACAAACCTTCATTGTTACTAGTTTTTTTCTTGGAGATTTTCATGTCCTTACTAGAACAACAATTACTATTAGTGCAAGAAGATTTGCTAAACAAAGACTTGAGAAATGCCCTTGAAGCTTTGAACTTTTGGTTGATTAAAGAAGGTTTAATCATGAACTTAGACCATAATTTCTTAGGACTAATTATTTTATGATCATTTGGATTAAGTTCAAAACTCACCATGCTAGTTTGTGATGGTGAACTAATTGGAGTGATCAACAAATTTATGCAAAAGCTATCTTCTAAATCTTCAAAGAGTTGGGAATTATTTTTGGTAATTTGAGAGGAAGATGAATTAGAAGATGATGATGAAAAGTAATAGTAAGAGTGTACTTCAATTTCTATGTACTCTTCATCATTTGAGTGGTTCATTGTTGATGGAAAGAGGGAAAAAAATGTGAATTAAGATTTAAGGTAAAGGAGTTGGTTTGAAGTTTAGATGGTGTCATGAGAGAATTATATAGATAGTGGGGGGAAATCGACTTTGTTTGGAACCATATAAATATTATCTAAAGCTCCTGTTGGTATTTTGGAAATTTAATATAAAATTAAAACATTATTGTATATACAACTTTCATAAAGTATTTATACAAATATAATACAACTATAAACATATGCAAAACTTAAAATATAATTTTCGTACAAATTCAACATACAATTATAATACAAATTTAATAAATTAAATCGTAACTTCAAACTTTAACGAATCAGAAATGAAATAGACAAGCAATAAAATTTTAGTTCTTCGGAACTCTAAATCAAAGCTCAAGAAAATTCAAAAAAAGGAAAAAATAGGATTGAAATTGTATTGAAAAATCGAATTAATTTGATTTGATCAGACAACTTATCACAACATACACTTGTTTATGACTAACAATACTATTCTGTTTTTAAATTTTAATATAAAATTTGTTTTAAAAAAAAATAAAGATATGCAAAAATTAATTCACATTTATCATAACTAACCATACTACCCATTCAACTTTCAAAATATATCAAAAAAGTTTTACAAACTATACACCGAAATGATTGTAACCGCTTATATTGTTATTCGTAAATGTGAGTGTGTTTTTTTGTTTTTGTTTTGTCTCCCATCAAACTACATATATATATAAAATCTCTAGTCTTATTATATTAATTATTTTTCTCTACTTTTTTTATCCTTTTCTACGAACTCTTCATTTATATTACTCCTTGGTGATTCTAACTCATAATTTTAAAACTGAAAATGAAAAATATTTACGATAATCTAGAGATTTGAACCTTATTATTAGAGCGAAAGTATGGACAGCTCATCAGTTTAACATATGATAATTGATTAATTTTTTATGTTATAAAATATTTAAAATGTAGATTATATAAAATAAAATAAAATTATACAAGTGGATTATATAATTAAAATTGTATAATCTCTTGTCTCGGTAAATATTTGAGTTCAACAAAATGGCAACTAATGACACTGTTCCGACTGTATAATTGGTCGGCGGGAGAGACGACGGACGGCGGCTTCTCTCACCGGCGCCGCCAGAGGAAATTGACCGGAGATAATCAGAAGCCGATAGGTATTAAGCTCTTCTTCTGATTCTTCATCTTTCCCCAGAAAAAAAAAGTAACCCTAATTTTATCATTTCTCAATTCCTTAAATTTCTTCAAGGACAGCTTAATTGATTTCATTTTTATGTATTTATTATGGATAATTACTTGCATTTGTTGTTAATTAATGTATTGATGTAGCCGTAATGGGAGCAAATTTAGATTCTGTAACTATAGTAGATAGCGATGAAAAGAAAAGAAAATGGTGGTGTGTCTTCAATATAGCGGTAAGACGCAATTGTTGAAGCTCCAGAAACTAGTATTATCGTGAAATTGTAGAATTGTAAATGTATCTGCTCAGCATTATGCTCTCTGATAAGTTAGTGGCTCAGTGTCATCAAGCTTATTTTAAAGTTTCCATATTAATATTGTTTCGTGTACGCGGTACTGGTGTTGGTGGGAGTAGTCAAGGTGCAAAGAAGCTGATTTAGACACTAATGTAATCAGGACAAAGAAAAAAGGATTGTTTCTTGATTACAGAAGCCTTGCCACATTGATGTAATACAAGACTGATTTGAAGTTATAATTGAAATTTAAGTAAGCTTTAATATTCCATCAATTCCATATTTCCATCCATGGTTAGTCTACCTTCTGATGAGATTTTTGTGGTCAATTTGCATTTGATTGCCTCTTAACACCCGTCTCTCATCAAGCTTTAACTTTCCTGGTGAATTTGTGCTGAAGTATCTTTGTTTTGCATTCTTCCAATTCCAGATAGGACTTATGATACGTGTGATAGGAGGGAGTTCATTTTTATAAATTGTATGGGCTGGTGTGCTTCATTAAACTGAAAGGAATATCTTGGACAGTTCCGTAGTTTAGACATAGGAGTAGCAAGTAGCAACCTGGAGATTCTAGGTTTGAGTCGAAGCTACAACACAGTACACACGTGAGCTCTTTTGCTTTAGTTTGTGGGTTGGTCTACTGAGCTGTCTTAGACACCATTGTCTTAAAAAAGGAAAATAATATAAGTGTGTTACATAACAACGGGAGAGTAAATGTTTCTTTTGTCTCATTTACATAATCCTTAATGTTGAATCATTCCAGGAGTAAGAAACGCATATGGAATATATCATTTTCCAAAACTCTTCATGGTTCTTGCTGATCCTTGTGTTTTGCTTTAACAGATTCCTACAAGGCATGGCTGCCAAACTGCCTTTACAAAGCTGTCCCACAATTTCTAAGCATTTGAGTGCTGATCAAATGGGATCAAGATTTAATGGAGCTGTCTGCCTTAGGAGAGCTGCACATTCAATAGGCAGAATCATGCATTTCCAGCTATCTTTTACTAATATTATCCAGCCTTATTCTTTCAGAAATTTCAAGTGAGTTTTTCCCTCTGTCATTGTGAAACTTTGATTTAGTTTGATGGTTGTGCCCCTTCCCCTCCACAACAAATGGATAGCATGCATAAGAAGGAACCATGTATGATATCAGCAGGTTCTCCCAGATTTAATTTCCCTTACAGAAAAATCTCTTTTTCAATAACAATAAGAAAAAATCGTTTTTTCAATAAGCAAAAATACGCAAAGATATCAAGGGTTCTCCATTACCTAGTTTGTGAATTTGCAGTATTGGTCATTGAGCCGTATGGCGAAGCCAAGACATAAGGATTAAAGACTGTTAGAAGATTCTCTTTTTATCATTCTTTATTAGTACAAGAAACTGAGTGGCTGGAAGATAGAAATCCTAATTTTACTCGGAATGAAGGAATGTGATCTTCCTAATTATTCTCGGAAAGAAAGAATGTTAGCATCATTTCATAAACTCATTTTCTAAATAATTTTCTTGCAAATTTCTACTCAAAAGTAATCAATTCTGACTATGGGTGGTTTACGTTTGAATAACTTCTCCATATCTACATCTGTCTGGTCTAAGTCCAAGTTTACTCTCATTATGGATTCCAAGTTTTCTTGTCCTATGCACTCCCACAAGTTTCCCTAGCCCTAATTGGGAAAATCTAAAATTCTCTCTTTTGAGCTATTTTAGATTGTTCAAATAACTAAGTACCTTGAAAGTTCCTGCCAGGGCTTGTAAGAAAATGTATGCTATTTGCTAATCTTTGTTTAGTGCTAAATCCTTGCTCAAGAGACTTATAAATGAGACGTTTCTACCCATGTATCTCAGAGTTTAATTCCAATATAGGAGGCGGGCATGGTCTATAAGAAGTGCTGCAGATGGCAGTGGACTAGATTCTTCTCCTACAACCAGCGGTAGCAGTGGAACTCGACTTATTAGGGCCATAGAGGCTCTTCTAGTCAAACTAGATGCCAGAATTAAGGTGTTGAGAAAAAACCTACCAATGAAGTTGCTGTTTTTCTTAGTGGGTTTCTATTGTGCAACCGCATTTGCCACTGTAATAGGGCAGACAGGTGATTGGGATATTATTTCTTCTGGATTAGCTGTGGCTGTGGTAGAGGGCATTGGAGCTCTCATGTATAGATCTATTCCTTTAATTGATGGGGTAAGGGGCATCATCATTATGTTCAATTATTGGAAAACTGGGCTGACTCTTGGTCTATTCCTTGACTCTTTCAAGTATTAAGGCGGAGATGAGGAGAGAAGTGTTCAGAAATCATAATGCCATTGAAATTTCATAGTTTATCTTTTGCGTTTTTGTAGGCAAATTCATGTTATCAGAGGGTAATTATACATCTTTTGCAGGATGTCTGTTGTACAGGGTCTCCAATGATACAGCATATACGTCACTTGTACATGGGAGGCATCCCTAGTTTGGTGCCACATTAATAAAATGTATACGGAAATATAGTTTGATCTTTCAGTTTTATACTATCTTATTTAATCAACATCGTGCTCCTGGATGTTAGCACGATGTTAATGGAGTTAGATAAAGCTTGTATTGATTAGTGTTATACGAATAAGTTTCATCTTATGATAGGACCCTTTCGTGGTAAGCTTTCAATTGCTCTGTTTGTACAAATGCTTTTAGAATCAATGACATAGAGTTGAATCTTGATGGAGGTGAAGAATTGCTGTGTTCCCGCTGGACTGTTAACCTATCTTTAGCATGCCATTCTCGGAGGAACCGACTCTACATCCAGTGCTTTTTAAGGACATTAACTACAGGTATTAATGCTCGATATAGTGCTTCGTTTATTGCTACAGATCCTATCTGAGATTAGCTGAAAATTTTCTTGATTTTGATTCGAATGAAAGAGCTTTCTTAATATTAGAATGACTAGCTATAGATGAATGTTGCTTAGCAACGTATTGGAAGTTGATGAATGTACTACTGCCTACCTCAGTGTTGGTTTTTCTTCTGAAGAATCATATTGTTGACTCTTTATTGTATGTCTATATTCAACAATTTATATATATCTAAAAAAATTCATATATAAATAGTGGATTTTTTCAACGAAGAACCCCCTTTGACATCTAGTCTCATTACAGAGCTATGGAGCATCAAATAAGGAATAAAATTAGTAAAAATGACGAGATATACAAAACTAGAAGTGAAAACAAACTATCTACTTGCAATACATCTTATTGAAGAAAATGACATCCAATCTCATCCTTTTAGGGCATTATTCAAGACTACAATTTTTTGTTAGAAACCAACAAAGACTCTCTTATACATATCTGGAGAGAGGTGAATCAATATGCAAATTTTTTTGGCAAGTAAAGGTATATCTGGAGAGAGGCGAATCAATATGCAATTTTTTTTTGGCAAGTAAAGGTCATACACGCATACTAAAGACTTGATAATATGAAATATTGACTGATTCTAACACATGTAAGTTGTAACTCATGAACGATTTTAAGTAGTTTATTTAGTACTTTCCAATATATTTTTTAAAAAATATAATGTTTGAAAAATTAAAGTTATATAATTAAATGGTAGTTCAATAAACATATGACCGCATAGCGCAGTGGATTAGCGCGTCTGACTTCGGATCAGAAGGTCGTGGGTTCGACTCCCACTGTGGTCGCTTTTTTTTGTTTGTCCTTTATGAACATTTTTTTATTGATTTTTTTTCCTATTTTATAAGTGGATAAAATAAAATTGAAAATGATTGTTTTTTTCTTTCCTATATAAAGTAATATAATGTTTTGGTCCATTGTCTACCTTAATTAATTAAGAATTAAAAAAGAAAATTCATTTTAGCATACAAATTACTACACATTATTAGTCTTGGAAAGGTAGAAGCTTTTGCATGAAGCAAGGCTTTTTATTCATGTGGGCATTTGTTATCTTCAAAGTGAAGCTAGTGCCTTTGATGATTACATTTCTAGTCATTAAAATTATGAGTGCTATGTTAGGTTTTTCAGAGGTCGGAGTCAGAATTTAAAACGTATGAATTTATAATTTTATTTTTGAGTTACTAAGTAATCAAATCGTGTTGTTTCAATATGGCTAAAAGTGACGTTGGGAAAAGTATGTTTTTGGTAAGAAAATAGAGCTTAAAGGTTTGGTTCGTTTGGTGAGCATTTTTCTTTCGATAATTGAAATGGAGAGTTTAAATCTTATAATAGCCAATATCTTTTTCCTCATTCAACCCCAATATTTTATTATTTTTTCTTAAAAGGAGGAGAAATCGTATTTTAGCCTCTTTAAACTCACAAGTATGATAAATAGTAGTATATCTATAGTTAATAATGAATTGGACAAAGCTTACTTATAATTCAAACTTCAGAAAATCTACCTTTAAGTTTGAATAAGTAACTTTCAATATGTTTGTCAGGAAGTTTATTTGCACAAATAATATATTAATTTTAATTAAATTATAATTTCAAACACAAATCTTTAAAATTTCAATGTAAAATTGTTGGGTTTTAGAAACATCTAAATTTACAAATTTTATAAACTTAGCTTGAATTTGGACATGCGATAAAAAGTTGTGATTAGAAATATATATGAACTATCGCTTTTTCTAGAATTTTACACATTGATTATTCGTTATTCCCTTTTCTTATTTGAACTATCACCATGTTTTATTTTCCTACTTGAGTCTTGAGCTATCATCATACTTCCTTCTCTACCAGTATTATAACACAACCTCAAAATTGACTAGTCTAACTGATCATTGTTTTCTTTTTCTATCTTAACTATTATCATCAAACTCAATTAGGTGTGTTTTAATACATAAATAATAATAGCTCAGAGCTTACCATTAAATACAAAACTCGCAAAACAATTCACACATGTACTTTTGATCTTTATCTCCAAATTTATCTTTCTTTTTTTTTACAAAAATAGAAAAAAGAGCTATCTCACATTTTCCGTGTTTCCCATAGGACGAAAAAAAAAACTTTCTGAATTTGTTTTGGAAAATAAATTTGTGGAAAATATTTGGCTCTCTCCAAGAAGTATGGAAAAGTTAGGAAAATTGAGCTAATCTCGTCTGCTACCTTATAGACAACAACAAATGCAAGAAAAAAAATCTCTTTTTTCTGATTCTGCAAACATTATACTCTGTTTCTACCTGAAAATTTCCCCATAAATTTATCCTAGAAGAAGAAGAAGAACAAGAAAACCATGAAATTGCATACCCAATCAAGCATGAATCACAGAAGAGATGAAGAAACAACAATGTCAATATCACAAAACACCCCACCATCATCACCAAAGACCTTCAAACATCCCAGATCTCTTCCAAGATCCATCAATTACCTTCTTAAAGAGCAAAGACTTCTCTTTATCCTTGTGGGTATTCTCATTGGTTCAACTTTTTTCATCCTTCAACCAAGCCTATCTCTCCTTACCCCATCTTCTCCAATACCCCAATCTTATCATGGGTTCGATTCAGTTCCTGGTGTAATTACCCATACATCTACTGTTACAACGCAGTATAGGGGTGCAGGGAGGGTGCCTGTTGGGATTGGGAGGAAACGGATGCGGGTTGTGGTGACGGGTGGAGCGGGTTTTGTGGGGAGTCATTTGGTTGATAAATTGATTAAGAGAGGTGATGATGTTATTGTGATTGATAATTTTTTTACTGGGAGGAAAGAAAATGTGATGCATCATTTTGGGGATCATAGATTTGAGCTTATTAGGCATGATGTTGTTGAACCTATTTTGTTGGAAGTGGATCAGATCTATCATTTGGCTTGCCCTGCTTCGCCTGTTCATTACAAGTATAATCCCGTCAAAACTATTATATCCTTTGTCTACATTAACATTTGGATTGTTTTTCGTTATTCGTTATGTATAAAAGCATGTTTTTTGTTTCTTTGCGATGGGGGCGTGCATGGATTTACAGGTTGTAGTATGATTTTTACATGTTTTGCGAGTTATCAATCCATGATTGTTATAGAAAGTTACTTGTAATTGCCTTTTACATAGTTAGATTGTTTGTTATTCGCATTGTCAGTGCATAGGAGTTTGATTGTCAAGGAATTTTCTATATGTTTATCCATTTCAAAAAGGAATTTCCGACTGTTTAAGGTGCATTTTTATATTCTCTTTTTATTTTGATGTACTTGAGATCCTTAATTCTGATTACAAGACAAATGTGATGGGTACTCTTAACATGTTGGGCCTTGCCAAGAGAATTGGTGCAAGGTTCTTGCTTACTAGTACAAGTGAGGTTTATGGTGATCCACTTGAGCATCCACAAAAGGAAACATATTGGGGAAATGTGAATCCAATAGGTGAGTAGCAGCTTCAATAATTTATTCTCAGTTTTGTTTGTAAGTTGTTCTGTCAGATCGTTTTAGTGATGTTTGAGTGTCTTGAAATATCTAGGTGTTAGGAGCTGCTATGATGAGGGAAAACGGACTGCTGAAACCTTGACTATGGATTACCATCGTGGTGCAGATGTTGAGGTAATGAGTGATTTTTCTTTCTTACAGATTGTTATGACATTTGATGCTGAATGTTAATGTGCAGTTGAATATACTTTTCCATTCATAAGTCTAGCATTATATGTGTAATGAGTATTTAGTTAGGTGTAAACAACTCTTCTGGTTGAAGTAATGAGTGCACAGCTGTTCAAAAGATAAATTTGGAAGCTGCTTATATTTGAAGTCCTGGAAGTACTTTTTTGCAGTTCAAAATTTTGAACTCAAAGAAACTTCACCTTATGATGATCATGAGAGAGATAGAGAGCAAACCTATGGCATATAGGCAATGACAGAGAGACATATTTTTAGTTCCACTTCTGCTCCTGATTTAAGAATCCATCCTAATAAGTTTCTATTTACGACTTGGTAATTAACCCTGTCACGTTCAACTTTATGACAGCAAGACCAAAAATGACCTTATAAGCTGTAATTAGTATCAAATTAGACTTGCTCTCCGGCAGTGTATCATAGAGGACCCAGAGTTTACGATCCATAATATTCATATGCAGGTGCGCATTGCCCGAATTTTCAATACATATGGACCTCGCATGTGTCTCGATGATGGACGTGTTGTAAGCAACTTTGTTGCCCAGGTTTGTTGTCTCAGCTTATATTAACATCAGTGCTGTAAACCGAATTTCCCTTTAGACGATCCATTTGTTTTTCTCTTTCTAAAACCATGTTTGCAGGCCATCCGCAAACAACCAATGACAGTGTATGGTGACGGGAAGCAAACACGCAGCTTTCAATATGTCTCTGACTTGGTAAGACATTAATAAATTACCCTTTCCATTTTAGTATGCCCTCACTGTCTTCACTGCATCTAATGATAGATGGGGTAGATGCGTGCGGTAGATGATATTTGTTAAAGGTCAGAATGTAAAAAGTGGTAGTTCTGTGTTAGGTTGACTACCTGTGGTAGTTGTGCCTGCAAAACTTGATTTAAGCTCTTGGAAATGTTAATCCTTTCGAAAAATTAGAAAATGGTGATGCATGCTACAGACAACATTCAAAGAGCTTGTAAAGTGAAATTCTAAATCAGGTATGTAGTAGATTTATGTGTCTTCTTTAACTTGTTTTATTTAATGGACTAGGTATTTTACCAATATTTGGAATTTCTGCACCGTTTGTCCCAAATTGACCTACCTAGTTTGGCTAGCAGATATTAAGATTGAATGAGATAGGCTTGAGCTTGTGTAATCCAATATTAGTTGAAGATATGAAGAGAGTGTGAAGGTGTCTCCTCATACTCAAGATGCTACAACACGATGTTATTATATACAGGTTTGACTTTTAGAGCATTTGGCATTTTCTCCATTTGAGAAAGACGCAAATCCTTACTCCTCGGATTAAAATGAAATGTAGGTCAAACAAAACATCATGAGGGGGAGTACACGTTTTTTCTCTCTAAGATCTTTGTTTTTCTATTTCAGCATGATGACATCTATCTAGCATCATGCTTTTTACTGTCTAGATTTATTAATATTTTACAAAAATTTCTCTAAGATTCTTATGGTGGAAGCATCTGGAGTTGTGATTTATGTGCTTTTTAGCACCATGTAGTACATGCTTTATAGCTGGATTTGGAGGATCTAACTCCAATACTAAAAGCAGACATTGCTTTCATTAAAATACTAAGAACTAAATGGGGTAAAGGAAATACTTGGAAGTTGTTTTCCAGTCATTCCTACTGTATTTTAGGAACCAAATTTCTAGTTAAAGATAGAGGGGTTATCATTAGTTGTGGCCAGTAGCCACTATTTTGTCCAATTAAATGCACAGTTCTCAGTTAATGTTGCTAGCTAAATAAGTATCATCTGCATGTCTGAGTTTGATAAGTGCCCTTGTGCCCATATAAAATTTGACCTTTCAAATCTCAGTTGAGAACTCTCAGTCTGCAGCTAATTGCATAATATGAGTCTATGTGAACACAAGACACAGAGCAAGATGTTATTCCCGATGAGTGGTGTACTTAGGGTATGCTGTCATTTGTTACTGCAATGGGCTTTTCTTGTGAAAAGAATTTTTGTGCCTACTTTTTCATATGTAAGATGGTGGTGGGAGATAGTCTATTAATTACAGCTCTCAAGTTTTCTGTGTTCATTTTGAAAATTCCGAGAACTATTTGCCATAACCAGTCTATTGCTTTATTGGAATTCAATTGTGAGAATCACAATGCAGACCACTAGATGTTTCGCCTGACAAGTGAAACTTCCTAATGTGGCTATATTTCCAAGTTGTATGTCCGGAAAGATGCTTTAGAAGATTAATAATCTTTGCTAGTCGTTGGTTGAGAGAAGTACAAATCAATTAATTTCTCAACTGAATACCTTGTGAAGGAGACCTTAGTTATTCCTCATCAATTAACAGAATGACTTGTTTAGTGATACACATAGGAGATGCTAATAGTGTGACATATTATGGTGTCATCGAACTGACAGAGCATGGACTTTTGCCTAGTGTGCAAAGCTTTGATCAGAGTGTGTCACCTGTTGCTATTTTCCTCTTATGAGCTGGTTTAGAAGAAAGAAACAAGGAACATTTCTTACTTTAAATGTGTACATGTTTGTGTAACAAGCTTTTATATGTGCATTACCCTGTTATTTTGCATCTCAATTTTGTGAATATCAAAAATTCATTAAAATGCCGTGGATTGTCCAATTTAAAAGTCCAAGTGGCCAGCTTGCTTTTTTGTTTATTATGCCTGGTTAAAGAATTCATAACAGAAACTATAGTTCTGTTGGAATGCAAACAATGATACTAAAACAATTAATTTCTGTTGATGAAAGGTTGACGGATTAATGGCCTTAATGGATGGTGAGCACATTGGCCCTTTCAACTTGGGAAACCCAGGAGAGTTTACCATGTTAGAGCTTGCCGAGGTAAGCTATGGTTTCTGCTGTAATACATATTTGCCTATTCACTATTAGTTTGGGCGCTACCTGCACAGGCAATTTAGTGAACGTTGCTCGTTGAGAATCAATATTTGTATTGAGTTCACAAGTTTTTTCTTATTTTGCTGTCATTTTATCATTATTGCTCAATTGATTGCAGTTTTATGTTCTTTCTACAGATGCAAGTCTAAAAAAAAAAGTTTCTGTGGCTATTTGATAGGAACTATCATTGAACATTTTCAAGTGTCGAAATACTAAATCTGCACTATCTGTAAAGTATGCTAACACCACAGTGTTTCCTTCTTGCTCTTCAGATTTGACAAACACCACCACCACGCTACGTCCTCCTTTAGCGATGGAAAGCACACGACATAAACTCATCCCCCCTGAGCTTCTCTCAATATCACAAACCTTACTCCTCCACTCACAGTCCTTATTCTCCATAGAAAATGACTCCATTTTTCTCTTATCCTGATACTTTATCATCCACCTGCCTTCCAAGACCCAGGATCATAAAATCATCCTCCGACTCTCCTGCTTTAAAACATTGTACCACCTTCAAAGCTCATGAAAAAGACAGATATATTAACACCAACATCCTCCTTAATTCTTGAAATAAGCAAACTCCAATAGCAATGTACACCAGCAAGCACCTCACAACAACCAACGACTTATCTCCCTCATCACCGGCCACCTCTCACTCTCTCTTTCATTTTTACATATTTTGGGTGCGCACAGGGTAAAACCCCAGCTCCTATGCAATAGCTCTCAAACCACACAGGAAAGGTAACCCGCACTAGGCAAGCCCAATGCGACGAGCTCGACCCAGAAGGCAAACCCCTTGCTTTCGCTGGCAAGGGGTTTTGAACTTGAGACCTCCAACATGGAAGTCCCAAGCCCAAACCACTGGGCCTCCCCAAAGGGTAGAAGTATAGAACATTGATTTATTGTTATACACGACTGCGTATCTAGTGTATTATCCATGCTTAGTGGAAGTAGGTCTACGACATAAGAAATAATTAAGTGATAAAGTGTTGCATATTGTCTTTTCAAATGTGAACTTATCCACCATGAATAAGTCCAGTCATCTTGAAGTGGTACTCGGCACACTAGTTTTTCGACTACATTTTTTTCCCCGACTACAAAGTATGCCTAATGTCTATTCAGTTACCTGGTTTTACTTACAGTTATGTTATCATTCAACCCTAAATCGTTTCATTTGGGAATACAGGTGGTCAAAGAAGTGATTGATCCAAGTGCTACTATTGAGTTCAGAGCTAACACAGCTGATGATCCTCACAAGAGGAAACCAGATATCAGCAGAGCAAAGGAACTGCTAAACTGGGAGCCGAAAGTACCCTTGAGGGACGGTCTGCCTCTCATGGTCAATGATTTCCGCAATCGCATCTTAAATGAAGATGAAGGAAAAGGCAACTAATAAAGAGGAGTAGCAACAACACTAGGTTGTATAGACCAAGCTTAGTGTACTGTTTATTGTTTTTGCTAATATACGAAGTTGATATTTGTTCTTTTTTTTTTCCCTCTTCATTTTTGTATCAATAGCTAACTGGAATGCTCAGTCATCAGCCACTACTCTAGGCAGATGCTTCGTGTATCCGGTTTTTTGAATTTTTTTTCCCCTATACACATCATGTAATTCTACAGGGAGAAAATTTTGAGCTTTTAGCTTCAAGTTAACAAGTAATTTGGTCTTTTACTGTGGTTCTCCTGGCCTTGCATTTAATATTTGTAGGTACTGTTTTGAACTCTACTTGTGAAACTGTTATGTGGAGCCACTCTTCGAATGATGGTTCATTTTTTTAATCGATTGGCCTCATAATACTTGCTCAGGGTAGACCCCGCAAGGGGGTAAAGCGCTCCCTATCAAGTTCTCGATTTCAAGGCGGTTAAGGATGGAGAGATTCTATTCACCCGATCATTTAAGAACATATCTATGGGCAGCAATAATTGGTATAATAGATAATACTAATGATCTGTAAAAGAAGATATGAAGTATCTGAATAAAGGAGGAAGAAGGAAAAGAGACTTTATGTGTTGTGTTATGAAGGTATCTGATTCTATGGAGCTCTCTTTCATTCATTCATGATATGAAAAAAAGAAAATTCCAAAGGCATATTTTACTTTAGAATATGAATATGGTTCTTATATTCTTATTCTACAACAAAAGAATAAAAGTGTTATCCTTTCTCACTTATTCTTACTTAATTCAATGGATTACAAAAAGTGAAACCATAAAGGCATTTACAAAAGTATCCTTAGTTTTGTTTGCAATTTTTCTATTACTAAGTTTGGAGATGGAGGATGTTTATCATCGGAGCAAGAGCAAGATCATGAATTTTCACGAGTTGTCTCTTTTTGGAACAACTTTTTAGTAAATGATTTTGTTTTTAGTTTTAGTTTTCTTGCAACTTTTTGTTCCTTACTTAAATACGCAATCCTAAGATTGGAGATGGAGGATGTTTACCATCGGAGCAAGTGCAAGATCAAGAATTTTCATGAGTTGTCTCTTTTTTCAACAACTTTTTAGTAAACGGTTTTGTTTTTAGTTTTCTTGCAACTTGTGGACATTTTAGTTCACAACTTAAATATTACTTTTGAACCACATGGTCTAAAATTTTACAAGTTATTACAAACGTTAGACAATGGTTTAATAGTTTGTTTATAAGGTTGAACAACATATGGGCAAACATTAAATCCGAGTTTAACATTATCCGCTTGGCAATTTTTCAAGAATTGTATTTGTATAATTCTTTAAAAAATAAAAATAAATTCTAAATAATAAGCTAAGTAAAAAGAAACATTTACGCAAGGCAGGACCCAACAAAATTGAACTACCTTCAGACCCCTCATATTAAAGTTGCAACGTCTCACACACCAAATACTTTACAGTAAAAACAAAAATATTAATTGGGGGCAATATTGTCCAAAAACAAGGATAAAGTGACGTGAAACTTTAGGATTAATTAATCACAATTTTTCATCTTAATTTCCCAAGACTAATACAACCAAAAATTCAAGATAACGTTTTACTTAAACATAAGTACAGTTTCTAGCTTAGATAATCGATAATTTAAATTTTTACTTTGTTGATAAGGATTTCACTCTCTGATTTTATTTTATTTTAATTTAGAAAAGCCAGTAAATGAAGTTGGCATTTTGCTAAAACCCCATAATTGAATAAAACAAAAACTGTGTGTTTTTGTAACAAACAAAGTGAACAGTTGCACATGAAATCTGAACTTTGTGTATCATTATAAGAGGAAATATTTTTATTTATTTGGGTGTCCACAGATTATTTAGCCGTTGCACTGTCTCATTCTCGTGCAAGCTCTGCTAATTTCAGCTCAGAGACTTGGTTACTTCCTCCGTTTTAATTCGATTGTCGTATTTTAACTTAGCACAAAATTTTAAAAGTAATAAATATTTTTAAATTTTATAATCGTAAATTAAAGATATGGTGAATAATTTTGTTGTTTTAAATATGTCGGGTGGAAAACTAAAATTAAAGAGTGTAATTCAAACTCAATCCAACCCCGCCTAATGGTAGACAACATACCGGGATGGCAGAATCAGTTAATTCGAACTCATACTTATAAGTCATACAGAGACAACGAGCCTGTAAAAAAATGTTTATGGAGTTGAATGTTTTAAAAAATGAGGCGGAAGCGCACTCTTAGGAAAACTGTCACTGAATCTTTCAGAAAACGCAGTCCACGAGTGTCACCATTTCAACTTTTAACTTATTAAATACCACTATATAATCATTAATTCACTAAATATTGTATATTATTTTAAAAAAAAAAAAATTAATATCTTGATCTTTGCAGGTACATTGTTGAGAATCTTTTAATGAGGATTTTGATATAATTAAATTTATAGTTCTTCCCCAGGAAGACTAGTTGTGTATTTGTTCTATCTCATCTTACTACCCAAAAAAATAAAATAGTCCGGTGCATTAAAACTCCCGCTATGCATAGAGTTCAGAGAAGGGTTCAACCACAAAGATCTATTGTACGCAGTCTTACCTTGTATTTCTACCAAAGGTTATTCTCGAGACTTGAACGTGTGACCTCTTAATCACTATTCATGTGTTTTGTACTTTATCTAACACAGACCCGACGACATTTTTAAAGAGTCGGAGAGTAACTAATCTTGATAGTAAATAAAGAAGTTGAAAAGAATTTATGTCCAGGCTGTATGATAAGTTAGCACAACATGTGAACTTAAATACAGATAAAACAATACAATAGTATCAATATCTTCCATGTAACAACTCAACTCTTTTTCTTATCCCCTTTTCTCTTAAAACAAAAATAAAACACTTTTCAATCATAAATTCACATAAAGTTTTTTATGCACATTCTCTAAATAAACCATTTGGCTTTCAATATTCCCATTATTTTCCTTCACAAAAAAAAATGAAAGATATGTTCTGTGCATCCCAAGCTGCTACAGCAATATGTCTTAGCATGGAAGAATTAGGCTCTTCTTCTTCTTCCTCCTCTGTTATACAACTCGGCGGCGGTAGCATCTCCGGCAGCCGCGCAATTGATCGGTACATACTACGTCACAATTTCAACTTTATGAGTTCTGAATTTTAAAAGCTAATAATAAAACTTAGTTTATGTATGTGGTGTACTGAATTTTTATTTCATGACCAAATCTCAATTGTATGATCAACTTGAGGAATTCTGTTTAAGCAAATTAGTTGATTTTCTCAATTTTTTCAGGTACAACCCAATAATAAGAGATTCGCGAAGAACAGGTCCTAAATCCATATCTGCACCTTGCTCTGCTCGTTCACCAATTTCTCCGAAACCACAGAGCAAGAGCAGAAAATCAACTTCGAAAGAATCGAAGAGATCAAAAGGAGTCTCAAAAAAATTACTGATAGAAAAGGATGATGAAAAAAGGAAGAGCAGTGTTAGTGAAGGAAATGAGAATATTTTTAAGACAAGTAATTGGAGCTGTAAAAAGCCTGGTGAATTTATAACTCCACCTGGTTCATCTAGATATCTTTTGAGTGAGAAGAATATTTTGGATGCTTTATCAGATTTTGAACCTGTTCTCAAATTGGTTGATTCTAGTAGTAGTAGCTCTGTACTGGAAGATGTGAAAACAGAGACACATGAATCTTGTCCTCCACCTTCTGCTTCTGCTAATCAGGTTCCTCAATTCTTCTTCTACTCTTTTTTTTTAATAATCGCGGTGTTCAGATCAGCTCGAACATAAATAATTCAACTAATTCAAGGCAGCAAATGTTTGGGGTGGTAATCTGTTCACTACTAGAAACAGAGGTTTTTACTATTCAATGACAAATTTATGTTATAAATGGAACCAGCTCACCCGAAAAATATCTAATGAAAATAGATGCTGAATGGGAAATTAGTGATTTTTTAGTAATGGTCCAACAAAATTCGGATATATGAGAAGAAATTATCGTTTGTTTTTGTTTGCGACAAGATTTGAACACGATACGTTATGATTCTAAACCTACTCTTGAGATTTCCATTAGCTATAAAAAAAGTACTCTCTTTTAGATTTTAACCAATGTTACTTTTACTCTCCAAAAATATTTCCGTACCTATGTATGCATTAATTTTGAAGGATCTAACATGCACAATCATGATATTTTTAAAGAGTCCGAGACTAATTTATGAAGTAGCAAAAAACTTCAACTCTAATGTAATAAAGTGTTTTATTTTAATTTCTTTTTTCAGAAAGATAGAGAAAAAAACATTCTTGTTATAATATAGTGAAGAAAAAAGATACTTTACAGGTTACACATCATCTTTTGTTTGTTAGAATATATGAATAATAATAAAGTAGAAGGATATATTAGTTGTAGAAAAAAAAGTGGTCCATATATGAAATGACAGAGTAATGAATATTTTGTTGCAGGTGGTTGTTCTTAGAGTTTCACTTCACTGCAGAGGATGTGAAAGGAAGATGAGAAAACACATCTCTAGAATGCAAGGTATGTGTGGCTCTCTCTTCTTCTTAGGGGACCATTCATAATGCCCTCTTTGAAATTTTCTCAATGACTTGTCACGGGTTCAAGCCGTGGAATCAGTTGATACTGATGTTTGTGTCAAGGTAAGTTTCTTATGTGGTCCTTCCCAGAACTTTGCTGAACACGGAATGATTCATGCATCAGACTATCCCTTTTCAAGTTATATTCATAAAAAGATAATTTACCTGCTATAACACGTTAAAATTCATTGATGGTGTGCCATAGGCTTAGTTAGCATGTAGTGTTTATATCATGTAAGACCTTGTTTAAAAGTCCTCATGACTTTAGGTAAAGCTCATTGCATATATGAACATGTTTTTTTTATTTCTCACCCGGTGTTTAGTGTCCGGTACCTACATTAGAATCCGACTAAATTTGGATTCGCGCCGGAAAGTCCACATAAGGGGGTAAAGCGCTCCCTAACAAAGGCGACTTAGGAACTCAAACTCGAAATCATTGGTTAAGGATGGACTACTTACCACTACTTACCGATAAAAAAAATAATTTACCTGCTATAACACGTTAAAATTCATTGATAGTGTGCTAGTGGCTTAGTCAGCATGGTGCTTATATCATGTAAGACCTTGTTTAAGAGTCCTCATGAATTTGAGACTGGTGAAAAGCTAAGTTAGCTTTCAAAAATGTAATCGGGTGTATTTCAAATACTCGTAGTGCATTTTCGAAGAACCCGACATGGGTGTTGCAATATTTTTGAAGAGTTTGAGCAACATAGGTGAAAAGTACCAAAATTCCCCTCTGCTGATGGCTCATTGCTAGTATGTGTGTAACAAGTGTAGTTTAACTTACTATAGCAAAATTACTTACCATTTTCATGTTACCACTTAGATGCTTATCCTAGAAATTTACGTCTTATTACCTTATAAAAGACTTAATCATGTCAATATTTCTTGTACTGTCGATGCATATATATAACTTAAACTCGTTGATAAATCGTAAACTTTTGATTGGGCATGAGTCAGGTGTGAAATCTTTCAACATAGATTTTGCTGCTAAGAAGGTGACAGTAACTGGGGATGTGACACCATTAGGAGTTCTTGCAAGCATTTCCAAGGTGAAAAATGCACAGTTATGGACACCAACACTGGCATCTTCTGTCCCTACAGCCAAAGTTAATTTGAGTAATTCTGAGTTGAAGAATAATGACAACCAGATGGTGTTATCTCATGAAAAGATAGAAAATGTTACTCCAACTACAACAACAATTCAACTAATGTAAATCTATTTTTATTTTTTTTGTGGTTTAGTAAGACTTTAGAGAAATGGAATTTTAGTCTGGGATTGGTTTATCATCTTCTTGATGGATTTCACTTTTTAGTTCTTGTGAACTTCTCAATTTTCATGGAAAAGTTTTGCTGCCTATTTTAGCGTGAAACTTACCGGTGATTTACAAGAATGATCTTAGAGATAGAGATGGATGGTCTTGAAGTTTTGCCTATGAGGAAAGCAAGGGGTCAAAACTTCAAGATCACTCGTTTTCAAGGTTATTGGGTGAAGTTTCTTGGGTCCAGACATGGTTCCACAAGCTAAACTCGTCGACTTTTTTTTTTCCTACCTGTACTTGCCAATATCTACCCCAAACCTTAGCATATTTAATCATGTCACAAATGCAAGTGAATATATATATATATATATATATATATATATATATATATATATATATATATATATATATCACATAACCAAAGTTAATATGCAAGACGCGTAACGTGCAAGTGTCTTGCATTCATTTTCGTGGAACAAACATTGTTCCAAAATTCATCCTTGTTCCAAAAATTTTACCATACAAATAGGGCTGAAAACTGCATCTTCAGCTGCCAGGAAAGGAAAAGAGGGATGAAGCTGCATCTCTTTGTGTCAACTAAGCCATACATATTGAATCAAATGTCCAAACTATTCTCAATAGGTTCAAGTTTGATGAATCCACCAGTCCTGCAACATTTCCGCTTTAGCATTCGTCTTGGTACCCATAAATGTATTTGCGTCAATATTCAACATATATGGATCCATCTCAACTGGATCTAACTAAGTTTGGATCCCATAAACCCCCCCAAAAAGATGAACAATATCCGTTTTTTAGGTATGTGAGTAATGTCAAGACTAGGCAATGTCAATGTAGCCATTGCTACAGTTAATTAGAAATATGAAGAAAGATTTAAACTATAGTCTGTATATTGAAACTTTTATGATGGAAAGGATGCATATATTGTTTTCATACAACTTCATATAAAGGGTAATATGCAACACTTGAATCAAGAGAATTTCTAATTCATTGAGAATGGTTTAAAAGAGAATGTTAGATTTTACTGTATGTACTACATTTTCACTGAGGGTCTTTCGGAGACAACCTCTCTACCTTCTCAGAAAAGGTAGGGGTAAGGTCTGGGTACACTCGACCCTCCCCACACCTCACATGTGGGATTACACCGGATGTTTGTTTTGTTGTTGTGCTACATGTACATTAGGAATTTTCCTAATAAACTGAGGCAAGAAGAAGCAGCTGCAGCTGCAGCTGCAGCAAGCAGTTTTATAAGGGTTACGTAAGTGGATTCAGTCTAAACAACAAACTTCAAGTCATGAAGAGAAAAAGAGCATCATTGGACCCGATCGTGATCTACACAAAGTTCATGATGTCACATTAACTGGCCTAAAACCAAAACTATACCCAGAAAAATATAAGACAACAACCTTAAATCTCAGCCTTCACACTTATTGATAAGGAAATCTCAGCCTACACTTATCAAGTAGTATGCCACCAAGAAGTGTCTTACCATGAAGTTGAACTAACAAATAGAAAATTAGCACAACACAAACAAGATCTGCATCTGGCATGGACGTTTCCTTTCATAGTTGAGCTATAATCAATCACCAACTACCAACAACAACATAAACACGCTAAACCCCAAGAACCAAAGAGAAATAAATTTCTAATGGGCTATTCACAGAAAATTACTTGTAGAAGTTCAACATAATAGCTACTAATGAACTTCTAGCATATATTCCAAAGCTATATTTTTCAGATCCTTCTAAAACATTTTTGGGTCTGTGTCAGATCCTCCAAAGTTATTCAGTTTTGGTGGATCCAACACGGGTGCAAAGGCATTTTTTTGGAGGATCCGGGCAACGTAGTTCCAAAAACCAGATAAGTAACACTATGGAAAATAAAAAGATTTATCCTGATGCTAACATTATGTTCACTAACCTTGTAATTCTGAAAATCTTCAACATAATTATAGAAGGATCTAGTCAAGACCTCCCCGCCTCCCTCCAAATGCACCCTCAAAATAACAAAACTACAAATGAAAAACATAACAACTACATAACAAACACTCGTACTTCTTCTCTCTTTAAAGACAGACACTTGAATTCATTTTGAAAAAACAACATAGTTTAAATTGGTCTATTTGAGTTTAATCTCCATTTAGTCTGAATGATCACTATGTATTTAGGATAATTTCAGAACGAATGGTGTTCAACATTGTTTACGAACTGGTGTCATTTAACCTCCAATGAACTCAGATTTCCCTCTTAGTTCTTGGTTGCAAGTGTAGTATGGTATGAATAACATAACTCAAGTGAGCTCCAAAGGTTAGACTTGTTTAAATGATCAAAGTATTCCTAATTGCTCCCACATGTCGGTAGCAGCAAACCATTCCCATGTAATCTTTGTGTCTTCGGCATCAGAAGTCAGAGCTCACAACATATAAGACTCACAGCATATTGCACAGGAATGATTGCATTACACAAGATAGTATCACAAAGAGTAATTTTGTTTGCATTCTTGATTGAATTTATCTTATATAGTTCATCATTTCATTCAAAATACCATCTAATCTGAAGTTAAATAGCTTCGAGCTCCATTCCACTAAATTACATAAAAAACTCATCTTGGCGTCTGAATTTAAACCTAAGTGCTACAACTCTATGTAAAAGCATCTACCTTCTCAAACCAGAGAGAAAAGTATATCTAAGCATCTAATAAGCACAATATAATTAATCTACAACAATACAATGCAACTCAATTTCTACCATACCTCAATCATAGAATCTCAGCTTCCATGGAAAACCAATGATCACATCCTCCGCCTTCTTTGCAAAAACCTTTGTTGCTATCAAGTCGCCATCATAAACTCAAATCTAGCATTAGTATGATCTTGAGGTACCAGTCCTTGATACTTCTCGAAATACTTCTCAGCCTCGTTGTTCTTCTTCAACGCGGTATATATCATGCCTTGACACAAGTAAGGCCTAAAATCCCCTGGCTCCTCATCCACTAACTCTTGATAAACCTTCAATGCTTCATCATATTTACCTCCAATAACCCATATTTGTGCAAGAATAAGCTTTAAATCCCTCAACTCACTCTCTTTCTCCTCCTTCTCACACATGTTAATCCCCTCCATAACCTGTTTCTCAATTTTCTTCATATCCTCCATGGATTCATCTTCCGATGCTGCCACAACCAGCCCGCGATACGCCTCTACGTAATAAGGATCCTTTAATATAACATCTCTAAAACCCAATTTAGCTAATTCAATCTCCCCATTATGAACATACAAATGAGATTTCAAAAAACGCCATTCGATCTCATCAGGCTCCAGCTCAATCAACTTGTTTATAATGCTAAGAGCATCGTCTAATTCTCTATTCTTAACACGATTCTCCAACAAATTTCTCAATATTTCAACATTTTCTGGCGCCTTTTCAGTTTCCTCCTGTTCTAAAACTTCTTCTTTCACATTCGTGTCCACGGTTGGCACCGGCGAAACAGGACAACAAATAGCTTGTTTGGGGTTGAAATAAAACCCTGTAAAGAAAAGGGCAGTGGCAGTAATGGTGGAAATCAATGTGGGTTTGAGAAAAGAGAGTGGAATTAAAGATTTGAAGGGTTTAGAATTAGGGGTTTTAGAGAGTTTAATGGATAATGGAAATGGAGTTTTGAAGGAAAAAGAATTGAGGGGTTGTTGAGTTAACACTGAAGGAATGAATTGGTACTGAAAATTGTTTGATTTTGCAGAAAGAGGAAGAGGGTTTAAGGTGTTCATGGTGATTGTGAAGCTCTTAAACCCTGATGATAATGGATGAAATTGCAGAGACTTGGCAAAATTTGGGAACAGGGAGAGACTACAAAAGAGGCATATTGTTGGGCTCAACCAGTTAATGGATTTGGGCTTTTGCTTCAATTTTCTTGAAAAAATTCGAAAAAACTACATAAATGGGCCCTAAAACCCAAAATTATAAGTTCATATTCAAATTCGAAGTAATTTCCGAAATACCCATTCTCTCATAACTAATTACACTCCATACCTCAATTCATTAAGACTGATAATCTTCGCTTAATTGATACTAAATCAATAGCATATATTGTATTGGTATCATTAAAGCTAAGGGTGTTCACGGATTGGTTTGGATCGGTTATTGGTCAAAACCAAAATCAAACCAATTTAATCGATTTTAAAATTATCAAACCAAACCAAACCAAATATAATATATATTTATCGATTTGGTTGTTATCGATTTTGGTTCAGTTTGGTTCGGTTATTAACCATATACAAAAATAAAAGAAACAATTCATTCAAAGAGTGAAAAATGTGACAACAATCCATTCAAAACGAAGTATAGTTAGAATGACTCACATTACATAACTTTTGATTATTGAATTTACTACGGATAAAGCTTCAAAATTCATTATTTTGGCCTAGAAGGAAGAGACTGACATTTTCAATCCACAAAGAATTGTCATAGGCACTCATATACATGAAGTCAATAAGATAAATGTTCTCACTTTGGACATTTTTGCTTTCATAAGTAAATATAAATTTTTTTTGATGAAAACGGATATAAGATATTTTAAAATATTTATAAAAATAACATATTATGTATGTATAACAATAAAATTATTTCTTTGGTTTTTTCAAACAAAATCAGAACCAACCCAAATACTATCGATTTTTAAAAATATAAAACCAAACCAAACCAAACCCAAAATAATAAATCTAAATTAGTCATTGAAACAAAAAAAAAATGTTTGAGGAGGATTAAATATACTCGTATGCGATTATATTTTTTTTTTAAAAAATAATAGTAAAAAATTAAACTAAAATTATTTTTTTTCATTTTCGTTAGAGGAAAAGGGTATATGTGAGTCATTTGTATATAATATATATGAGTCACTTTCATAACGAGGGTATATCAGCTCTAAATGACAAAGTTGAGGAGTATATCAGACCCTTTTCCCAAGTTTAAATAATAATTTGCATCTAAAAAAGTTTGAAAATTTTCATTTTTAAACCTCTAATTATCCTTTAATTTGGAGATGACCATTAACGTGCGATCATTCAACATCATCCATGCAGCAGCGGCAGGGCCGGCTCTTGCCTTTGTAAAATAAGGCTTATCCCTTAGGCCCCTAATTTTTGGGGCCCCAAATTATTATCAAGAATAAATTGTGTTAAATTTTTATAGAAAAATTGATTAATTATGATAAAAAAATATATTATTTTACCCACTTTAACATCTTTTATACTTTGTTAAAAATAAGAATTAATAGTGAAAAGTGTTGAACAAAGTGAATTACAAATTTTTTTTTATTTCTTTTTAAATTTTAGTTTCAAACATTACAACAAGCATATTAAAATAGTGTATACCAAGTCATCAACTTCTTGAATCAGCTTCTGTGGTTCTAACTCTTATCTTTATTTAATATTTATCAACTTATTACTTATAAAATTATGTTAACAATTTATATAATAATTGCCTCACTGAAAGAATGTTTTCAATGTTGAGTTGATAAAATTTTACCTAAAATCAATAACTGAAAAACAATATTAAATACTAATAATTCTCATCTAAATAGTGTAAGAACAATAAATTTGAATAAATATGTATACAAAGTTTGTTTATATCTTAGGCCTCAAATTGAAATTTCGCTTTAGACCCCTAATTACGTTGAGCCGCCCCTGAGCAGCGGACCCACATAAAGTCTGTCGGATGTTTGAGCCCCCCATTAATATATATATATATATATATATATATATATATAAATTAAGAGATATTTGTATAAAATTAACAGAGAGCACCCAGTGAATAAATTATCTGATTGATTCATTAATATTCGCTCTTGGGTGGATGTTTAAGGTTCTTTCAGTGTTGTTGAGCCAGATTTGAATCTCATTATTAACATATCTTTTATATTTTTTATTCCGCCACTGTCAAAGCACCCACAACCTTAAAATTCTATATCCGCCACTATATCTATGTCATACCAAGTTCACGTGTCTGTCGAAAGACATAAAATGTTTTTTATTTTAAATATGCTTATGTTTGCCCTTACATCATCAATTTAGCAATGAAACTGACCCCTTTTGCCACGTCAATCATTTTTTTACCCCAAACCAAAATTAATATTTTCAAGTGAAATATATTTTATGATTTGGTCGTATTTTATGATTTCAAGTGAAATATATATTTTTAACTTCATGCAAAATAGAGTACTAATCTCTTGACTTCGTATAGTTTGGACATGAAATTTCATATCATAATTTTAAATTATGATTTCAAATTAACGTTTAAACAGATTTCTATGCTTAGGCGGTAATAGAAGGCACAAGAAGCGGACAAAAAACATTGAAGATACAATTTTGGCTTTGAACTCTCAGAAATCAGACTTCCCATTCATTCCTATCAGTTAATCATGTGGAACTTTCATGACCATCAGTCTGATTTGTCATCATCCTCCAAAACGTGGGGCGAATCAATCACTGAAGTTACGTGTTAAGCAGAATTCAATAATTTTATCTCAAAAAAAAGTCCACTTAATATGCCTAAGTTTCCGAACCCAACTCCAACTCTTGTCCAAACCTAAAATTCAAAACTCATAAACTTATTGAAATCTTGAATCCGTTTATGCGACGATAGCGTAGTCGAAAGGTGTTTGTTATAAGAATGATGTACTTCATGTCAGCCTCATAAAAATGGGACATTTTGTATTCTTGTGACTATCTTGTATGGAGTACTATATTTAATCTTATCTTGGGTGTTTATTCCAAGAATATATTAAAACAAAAATACAGCAATATCTGTAATAAGCTGGTTTGTTACAAAATTAGAAACTCCATTTTGTCTAGTAAATATCATCCTCTCATATTCAATTTCACAATAACATAATCATACATAAAGATAAAGCTGAAAATGCTTATGTTTGCTCTTACATCATCACTTTACAATCAACATATTATACTATAGTCTATAAATTAAACAATATGTTGATGAAACCATAGTGTAATAACAAAAATATTCTCTCATTTTTCGACTAACAATGGGTGTTCCTACAGTACAGCCACATTTTGTGTTGTTTCCTTTCATGGCACAAGGTCATACAATACCTATGATTGACATTGCGCGATTACTAGCACAGCGTGGAGTTATTATCACAATCGTTACTACACATTTGAATGCCAATAGATTCAAAAAAGTCATTGATCGCGCTATAGAAACGGGACTAAAAATTCAGGTGGTTCATCTCTACTTTCCAAGCTTAGAGGCTGGACTACCTGAAGGGTGTGAAAATTTCGACATGCTTCCATCGATGGATTTGGGGCTGAAATTCTTCGATGCTACGAAAAGACTTCAGCCCCAAGTGGAAGAAATGTTGCAAGAAATGAAACCTTCACCAAGTTGTGTAATATCTGATATGTGTTTGCCATGGACAACTAATGTTGCACAAAAATTCAACATTCCTAGGATTGTTTTCCATGGAATGGGTTGCTTTTCTTTGTTATGTTTACATAATTTGAAAGATTGGGAGGAGTTAGAAAAGATTGAATCTGATACAGAGTATTTTCGAGTGCCTGGATTATTCGACAAGATTGAATTAAGCAAAAATCAGCTTGGTAATGCTGCCAGGCCGAGAAATGAAGAATGGCGAGAAATTTCTGATCAAATGAAGAAAGCAGAGGAGGAAGCTTATGGGATAGTGGTGAATAGCTTCGAGGATTTGGAAAAAGAATACGTCGAGGGTTTAATGAATGTGAAAAACAAGAAAATTTGGACCATTGGCCCTGTTTCACTCTGTAACAAAGAGAAACAGGACAAAGCTGAAAGAGGTAACAAGGCTTCAATTGATGAACACAAGTGCCTAAACTGGCTTGATTCATGGGAACTAAACTCTGTACTCTTTGTCTGTCTCGGGAGCCTATCGCGCCTTTCCACGTCTCAGATGGTAGAGCTAGGGCTCGGGTTAGAATCATCGAAACGACCCTTTATTTGGGTTGTTAGACACATGTCAGATGAGTTCAAAAATTGGCTAGTGGAAGAGGATTTTGAGGAAAGGGTTAAAGGACAAGGACTTTTAATCCACGGTTGGGCGCCACAAGTACTAATCTTATCTCATCCTTCAATAGGTGCGTTCTTGACTCACTGTGGATGGAATTCGAGCCTGGAAGGTATAACTGCTGGCGTGGCGATGATCACTTGGCCAATGTTTGCTGAGCAGTTTTGCAATGAGAGGTTAATAGTGAATGTACTCAAGACAGGAGTGAGGTCAGGCATAGAGACACAAGTGATGTTTGGAGAAGAAGAAAAATTGGGAACACAAGTAAGCAAAGATGATATTAAAAAGGTGATTGAAGAAGTGATGGGTGAAGAAATGGAAGGTGAAATGAGAAGAAAAAGAGCTAAAGAATTAGGAGAAAAGGCAAAGAGGGCTATGGAGGAAGAGGGTTCATCTCATTTCAACTTGACACAATTGATTCAAGATGTGATAGAGCAAGCAAATTTTTTAAAATCTATGTAGAATTACAAGAGGTTGATTTAGGATATGTTGCAATTAATGAATGCCATATAGTTCAAATCAAGCCTTAACAATAATGTTATATTTGAGTAAGTTCAATTACTTTAGTGCATGACAAATAATTTTGTTGATACTGTTATGGTGAGTAAACTTCTTCAATAAGCACTAGGAGCAGTCATCTTTGTGATCAGGGACGGATCTACGTAGGTCCAAAGGGTGTCACGTGACACTTCCGAAAAATTACTAAATATACATATATAATTAATGGCAAAAGGAGAAATAGCGAATATATTAAATATAGTGACATTTCTTAAAACAAATGTATACCCAACTGGCAAACTTAGGTGGTCAGGTGCCTTAATGCTAAGGGCAAGGTTGTGTGTTTGAATCTAGAACTTGTCATTTTATTATACATTTGAAGTTCTCCATTCACCCTTCTTATAGGCTTGTTTTTTTATTTTTTTTCTTTCACATTCTTTCTTGTCAATGAAATTAATTAAGAACAAATTATGAAACATTTAATATTATTAATTTTAAAAAGTATTTTGAATTCATTTAAAAAAAACTCATGAATTTTTTTTTATAATTTTAAAAATATTTCTTTTTAGAAAAGGTATATTAGTGAGCGTGAATTGTATTTTATTTATTTATTTTTAAAAAAATGATGTCACATTATTTTATTTATTGTTTTTCATATAAAAGGTGACACCCCATATAAAAAATCATGTGTGCACCATTGTTTGTGATAGCTAAATAAATATCAACACGATCTTGATGATTACCTCAAACTATTCAGCGTGGTAACTAAGATAGTAAGCACTAATAATACTACGTAGGTGTTTGACTAATCAGTAAAACTACTTTTAAGCAGAAGTATAAGCACGTTTTCCGCTATTAGAAAGAAGCTTAAGATTTCTGCTTCTTACAAAAAGCAAAGAATAAGCAGAAAATCATCTATTTTAAAATCAAAATATTTCTGTCATATACATATTTATCAATATATCCCTTATATTTAAATCATCATATTAATAGTATATCAATATTTAATTTATTTTTTTATTCATCTATGTATAATATTGATTGAAAATTTAAATATGTACATTTCAATTTAATAAAATAAAATAAAATAAAATAAAATTAAAATTTGATAATATATATTTACGATCATTTTAATATTAAAAGTAAATTGATACTTGTCATTTTTTGTAATTTGACTCTCAACTGTGTTTTTTAAAAAAATAGACAAACAAAATATGCTTATCAAAAGCATTTTTCAAATGAATTAATCATACACAAATTACTTTTTTTCAAAAACATTGTTTGAAAAGCTACTTTGGAAAAGTGCTTTTCAACATGCTCTTAATCTATTTAATTTAGAATTTTAAATAAAAGTTTGATGTGAGTACATTTTAATAAAAAAAATCAGCTAAGTGATTTAGATGTTATAAAAAATGTTTTTTGAATATCTAAGCGAAGGATCCTAAATTAAGTGACCATTTAAGATATTATTTCAAATAAAATCATCAAACACTTTGAAAGCATAAACTATAAATGTGATTCGTATTAATAGAATATAAAAGGAAAAAGCCCCTCAAAGAATGTTACCTTAAATGGGATTGAAATTGGGACGGGATCGAACCTCTCATATTTACTTTCTCTCCTAATCCCAAAGTTTTCTTATTTCAAACAAAACACTGCCTATAATCACGCTCTTTCATTTCTTTATATTTCCCTCCTAATCAAGTCATAAATTCAATAGAAAAAACCCTAGAAACTCTTCATCAACTTTTTTTCTTATGACGTCGATGTCGTTTCCTGAATTATCTTATGGTTGAGCTTGATAATATGGTGAAATTAGGAGAAAAATGTCATAATATTAAAGTGGTAATAGAAGTTCTCAACTTAATTGATGATTGAAAGAATCCAGATGAATTTACCAGGTTTGTGTTTGAACAATTGTATTGCCAAAAATCAAATTACTTAAAGGGAAAGTAGATACATTCAAGGGTTTAAGAGGGTTTCTATTAGAGGATCTTGAACAAACGTTTCCTGATGGAGTGGAATATTACAGAAAGATAGAGACGAGTTTAGGATTTTTAAACATTATTTATTTTTATGGTATAATATATGTTTTATGATTGAATATGAATGATGATAATTTACGAAATGATGATGGTTTGGTGTAAATTTTTTACTAATTGAAAAATATGTTTAAATTACACATGTCATTTAATAATTGGTCTATGCAATCCATCATAAGCAAATGAAATGCTTTTTTGTTTTGTTTTTCGATCAGTGTTCAAATCTCATGTTGGAGTCCAATAAAAAAAATTATTTACGCTAGAAAGTCCCTTACTAATTTTGTATGAGTATATTTAATAGATACACTTCTATCAAATTTAAGTGTTTATTTGGTCATTAATTAATTTTGAGCGACAATCGTATAAATTATGTCAAGTTTAAAGGGCTATCTAGATAATGACAATCATCGGCACATATTGTCAATAATTTTCTCTAAATTACCCTTATGGTTAAATGTAACCTAATGGATCAAAAATGTTTTTTTTTCTTAATAAATTATATATATATATATATATATATATATTCTTTAAAATATTCTATTCTTGATAATATATTATTGTTAAAATCTCAATTCTGACTTTTTTTTAAAAAATCACTTTAATTAATAAATAAGTAGAAAACATATTTTATTTCTTCTGAATCTTACTTTAACAATTAAAATAGAATAACTCTATTTAGCTTTTAGACTGATTATATAAGTCATACATATAAGATCATAGTAACTCATTATTAATTTTCATTTACAATGATAATTTAATTTTTTAATAAAATAGAAAATATTTTTATTTCTTAACCTTTTTTGAATTGAAGTAGACAAGTACTTTTTGATTTTTAAAAAATCATCATTTCAAAAGAAACGTGTCTATAAAACAATACTTTATTTGATATTTTAACCCACTAAGTAACAAGTGAGCTGAAATTTTTTTGAAGAAGAGAGAGATGGACTTCGATTCAACTAGGGGTGGGCATAAACTCCGAAAAACCAAAAAATCAAATCGAACCAAATTATTTTGATAATTCGGTTTTGGTATTTCAGTTTTCGGTTTGGTATTAGGTATATGATTTTGTATTTTTCGGTATTTCGGTTCGATTTCGGTATGTAATTTTTGTGTAATTCGGTTTTTCGGTTCACCGAAATATATTATATTATAATATATATTAATATTATATTAATTATTAATATTAAAAAATAAATATTATAATTTAAAATTAAAAACAAAAGTTTGTCTTTTCAAACTTTTCAACTTTACAGACCCACTTCCCAAAAGGTAAAAATTACCGTTCCCACTTCCCACGTCTAGTCGTCTACAGACTATAGCAACGTTGACCGTTTCGGCGACCAGCAACACGCAGCAACCGCCAATCGACCAGCAGGCAGCCGCAGCACAACAACGACCGGTAAATTTCAATGTTATAACAAGGCTAAATTTCAATGTTAACAACAATTTATTATTTTGAATCATACAATAATTTGAAAAATAGAGTAAAATAATAAGCAAAAAGAAATAAACATAAATAAAATAAACAAAAAAATTACAAAATTTTAAAAAGCCCACTAAGCATGCCTATAACAAAAAATCGAATTAACAAAAACCGAACCGAAATAATAAAAACCGAACCGAATTATTTCGGTTCGGTGTTCGGTACACGTTGTACAAGAACCGAAAACTGAAAAAACCGAAAAAAAAACCGAAACCGAACCGAAATACCGAATGCCCACCCCTAGATTCAACATCTAATTTTTTTTTTCCTGATACGTATATGGGTCATTTGGGCTCTATATGTTCCTTTTTTAATAGGAAAATTATATGGTTAAACAAACATATACTAGTTAATTAGTCATTATAATTATAGTTTTAGTTAATTATCACTCACGATCAATATTCAGTGATGATTACGTGTGCTGAGGTTTCAAGTTTGTATAATTCAGAATTTGTATAGGCCTATAATATAATTTGTAGTAACTTTTGTACAATATAATGTGTATAACTATTTAAAGTTCAGATGTTTGTGTTTGTATAAATTCGTTATTTCGAGTTTATATAAAAATAGCTCAATTATACAAACGTAGCTGCGATTTATACAAACTTATCCGCAAATTATACAAACCTGCAAATTATACAAACGAGACAACTTAATTGTAGCTATAACCCATAAATATGCAAACTATAGGCTATAGCTATGACATATAATTAACTTTATTATAATGACTATTTGCGAAAATTCTTTTTTTTATTTGCTTCTTGTAATTGGATTTATCCCTACTCTATTATTTGTTTATTTTATGGTCTATATGGGCCACTTTAAGTTTTTTTTTTTTAAAAGAGCAAAATTAAAGTAACCCGTTTTAACCTTACGTACCTTTTCCATTTCCTTTAATAAAATTGAGCCTCTCCTATTCCATTTCACTAAAATTTATTGACATGAATTTTTTATTTAATTTTTCTTTTAAAAAAATATCATTTAAATTATTTAATGACCTATATCACTTAACTCAATCCGTTAAAAATATAATAGTAATCCTTTACGAAAATAATTTAGGAAAAAAAAGTCTTAAAGGGTCACCATTCTTAGTCATATAAGTTAATTCAAAGAACAGTAATGCTGAATGTTGTTGTCGTTATTTTTTTAATTCGGTTGGATACATTTTCTTTTATAGAAGCAGTAGGAACAGTTAGAAGCATATCATATTTTTCTTTATCACTAATGCGTCTCTATTATATTGTTTTTAGGAGGTCGAGTTAAATAGGGTGGATTGTTAAATGATTTAAATGATATTTTTTATTTTTAAAAATGTTTTAAATAAAAATTTCATGTTAAAAAATTAATTAAATATGTTGAGCGACTTTGTAAGTAAAATATATATAGTTGAGTGAATTTCTGTGAAAAGAGTCCATAGTTGAGTGACTTTTTAAATTAAAAGTCAAAGTTGAGTGACTTTTTATGAAAAGAATCCATAGTTAAGTG